GATAGAGTCCGTTGACACACGTCCAGCTGAGGTGCTAGGCTGGGGGGTCTTTTTTAGTAAACCTTTAGCCCGACGCGAGGCAGCGGATGATGAAGAGAAATGAAGGAATTACAATTCATATATGTGAAAAGAAAAGAGCGATGGAGAGGAGAGCTAGAGCCGTGCATTAGCAAAAGCAATTAACGCTGAGCGGGGTAGTCCATTAAAAAAAAGAAACTGAAGAGGAAAACTTGTCACTTACGATGACGTTCTACTCTACCAGAGTACGACAAAGTGCCGATGGATGGTCCTCATACCTGGAACAGAGAGAAACATAAGATAAACATTAAATGACCGATAGGAGAAACAAAGTTGATTGTTTATTAAATTCAAATTAAGACCAAATTTGTGACAAAAACTGCACACGCAAGTCCAGTAACCAACCAGGTCCAGGTAATACGTTTCGGCGAGCTGTCCTGCAACAGAGTTTCAACCTCCGTGGTACTGCCCTATAACAAATAACATTTGCAGAAACTATGGGCTTGAAGAGTGCTCCCTGCGGCTCTGTGTGTGTGTGTGTGTGTGTGTGTGTGTGTATGTGTGTGTGTGGAAGGGGAAGTGGGAGGGGTGAAAGGGTTAGAGTACCGCCGGAATGCAACCATTACGCAGAACGGCAATTGCAGACATCGATGCCCTACCCGCCCGTCCCGAACAGCGCGGTTGGAGTTGCGTTCGCGCAGAGGGTGGCTGGCCACTTTGTCGCCACTTTTTCGATACGAGTAGTCGCTTTGCGGATGCAGCCGCTCTAAGGAAAACGGGCAGGCCATCGGCCCCATGTCCCAATCGTTTAAGACATGTAAGTCCTCGCCGATCACATGGAGGGGTCGGAAAGTTGTGCGCGCAGGATTTGAAAAGTCGACGCACTGTGCGAAATACGTAGTAGCTGCAATGATATGCAGAAGAGAGAAGCAATGGTTAGGAATAAGAACGAAAGTAGAGAAAAGTTGTGAACGCAACGCAATGCAAGTTGACCTCTCTTGTATCCCAAAACAGGAAAACATCAACAACCGACGTAGGAAACAATATAAAAAAATCCAATTTAGAAATGTTATCACATAAAAAATTATGTATAAATTATTTCAAAACCATTTCAGACCATTTGGAATCGCATCACTTCAAATTAATTTGACCATTTGTACAAGAATTCCAATGTCGGTCATTACATCACATACATCCCTAACCATACGCGAAGTAAAGAGAGCTATCACTAGAGGTAGAGCAGAAATTTCCAGCTCTTGCGCCGACGCCGCTGCCGTACCCCGCTGAGGCACCCTGCCGACCACAAATAGGGACTGTTATTGATAAAAACGTTTATCACTAGCCGGGGAGAGTAAGAGAATGAGAGAGGGAGAAAGCTTTGAAAATCGAAAGGAATGGATCGGCCTGGTGGCGGCGGGGGTCTCAGCGCCGGCGCGCCAGGCGGGAACAAACAATTGAAAGGAACGCCACCGCGGCCAAGCGGTAGAGGAGGGAGGGGGGGGGGTCATGTGAGGGGAGGGGCAGTAGAAATACGGCGTAGCGAGCGTGGACCGGGTCGAGAGAGAGAGAGAGAGGGGGGGGGGGAGAATCGACAAGTCCACATTGAACCCAACGCAAAACAAAGGCAAAGTCATCATTTCCCGACCCGGTCCTACAATAGGTCGACGCCCGGTGGGTGCAGCCGCGTTGGCCTGCCGGGCCTGCCGCCTGTGATAGCAAAACGGCTCCGTGCAACCGACCGGGCACCATGGCCGCCTGCAAAAGCAAGCATAGGCAACCCGGCGGACGCAGCGCCCAGCGCGCGGCCTACCCGCCCGGCACTCGGCGTTGGCGGGGAGCTGATTGTGAGCTCCGGCCCATCCCATCTCCACACGAGTTCGCCGGTAATTAGGTGTGGGTCCGGGGCCGAAAGTAATTAAAAACCACAACGCTCCCATTTTCTTTTCCATATTCTGCCCCTTCCCCCCTCTTTGGCGCAGAACCACTGCCACCCCTCCGCAATCCCCACCCTCCCGCACCGTACATCCACCCCTCTCTCTTTTGACCCCATAAAAAAGGGGGGAAAACAAAGTCGAAATCCATGGGCGTACACCACGGGAGAATCGATCGGGGTGCACGCCGGTATGATTCCCAGAACATTTTTTATAAATGGAGCCTGCGGTAGACTTTTCTGGGGCAATTTTTGTAGCACCAGCAGTAACATTTTATGTTTTACACCAATTATTTTAGCAGAGTTTTTCTGTACGTTTTTCGATTTTGGCACCATTTTTGTAAACCCGAATGACCGAAAAGAAGCCTGGCTACATTTACAAAAAATATCTTTGTAATTAGAGAATTATTTTTTCCGTGGAGAGAAGAAAGGAGATGGTGCGCGCGGGAGGTTTCGTTCCTGCACTCTCCCCGTGCCACCGCCAAGCTTCTTCTTCGACCTTCCACTCGGACCACTTATGACCAGTCCTGCCGAGCCTCATAATCCTTCATCACTTCGACGTCAACATCAGCCCACTTGCCGATGCCGATTCCAGAATCAGCTGCCAGTCACACAGAGCGCGATCGAGATATCGAGATCTAGATCCACAGAGTAATGCCTTATGGATGGGCCGGCTAGTGCTCCTCCTTCCTCCGGCCGACCATTCGCATCTCCTCAGACCCAAGAGCATTCCGATGCCAGCGCACCGGAAGCACAGCCGTCTTCCATGCCGATCTACGAGAGGTTCGCGGACCGCCACAGAGAAATGTTGTTGTATGCGGTGTAATAGAACAAAATCATGTATGCAATCGGAAGAATGAATGCAGAAAAACTATGGGATAAATGCCACGTCGTTTGAATCTCCTGAACAACGCGGCGTTAGGGACCATCAATAAATTACGTCCATCCTTTGGCCTCATGAACTTGTCAAAATTGAACCCTTGCAAGCTATCATAGCGCCTGGTAGGTAGGCAACATCTTGCCTGCAGGACATGCATGTACTGCGGGTTGGCCTACCCCAGCTGTCGCAGGCGCCGTACTTTCGTAATTTGCCCAATCTGCGAAAAACGGACATACTTTCTGGACGATCCCTTACCCACGACTGGAAACATTGGACAAAAGCTGCGCCCATCATTATATACCGCCAGACGGTGTAACGACGTGCGATATTCATGGGTAACGATGTTCCTCATCCACGACAAGTAAACGCGCATCACATTGTGCCACGGACAAATAACGAGCGCACATCCACGTGCATCACAACGACGCTCGTCTCGGCTCGTCGTTGGCATCGCCCCGGCGGCGTCTTATTAATGGAGGCTGAATAATGGACCAAGCGCAACGGCGCGTCAACATCGCAGCTCATTTCGGTTCGCACCTGAAAGGTTTCAGTGCGGAGGCGACGGCGGCGGCAAAGGGGGAAGCAGGGGGCCTAGGCAAACACGCGATGTTGTCTCTGCCGTCATGTTTGCCTTGGGCTCGCCTCCTACCGTCTTCCGCGGCGGCGGCAGCACAAAGTTTGATTCACACACAAACTGAGCATGTGCACGATGATGGCGGTAGTGGTAGAAAGGTACAAGTTTCAAGACGGATCCCACGAAGTAGTTCAGAAAGCACGGGTTGTCGAAGATCCGACGACGCCACTCCACCTGATTATTTTTCCCGTGGCAGCAATATTGCAAACTCCGATAATTTGAGAAAAACTCCTCAGAAATTGAGTAAGTCTTCCATAAATTGTTGGAATTTTCCTCAGTTTTTGATGAGACTTTTTCTTTCTTTTCTCTTGTAGAGCTGAGAAGTTTTAAAATTGTGGAAAATTTTAAGGAAGACCTCCAAATTATGGGAGTTCCACAAAGTTTTCCTTTCCTCAAAAAATAAGACATTTTTTTACCGTGGGGAAGTCGTAATTGTGTACTAGAGTTTTCAGAGTATAATGGCAGCGTGTCTGTTGTATACTTGTTCGTTGTCTGGTCTCAGGGTACCGACCACTTCTTATGCGGAGAACTTTCTGTGATCCTGGTGGTTCTACTATTAATTATTTTGTCCCCATTCCGTGACGGCGCTGTTGTTATTGCTGCCGATGGAAAAAGTAATCAGGTGGAGTGGCGTCATCGGATCTTAGACAATCCGTGCTTTCTGAACACTGGAAAAACAAAGGTGTGATATCCTACCTTTCCAGGGGTGTTAAACTCGTTTTAGGGGTGCTAAAGAGAATATTTTCAGTTTCTTATTCAAAATATTTTCTATGTGAGCAAACCAATTACATTTTGAGATTCATTGTCACATTCCTCGCAAAATTCCGCGTCATACGAGCCTACATGTGATAGGGTTCAGAAAAGCGGTCAGCGAATGAAAAGCAAGCCAAAAAGTACAAAAAATGAAATCAATCTATGCCATTTTTGAAGAGAACCCCATCATGTGTAGGCTCGTTTGACGCGGAATTTCGCGTAGATTTCGAAAATAGGTTTCAGAATCCAATTTTGTTCCATGGGAAAGAAATATTTCGAAAAAACATAAATTGTAATGCCTTTGGAGCTTTAACGCCTTTTAAAGGTAGGATA